CCCTGGGACCAACAGCAGAGGCTGGAATCTTTCCAAGCATCTCACTAGCCTGGCTTGGGTGCCCCTACCCTCTGGCAGAGAATAGGAGACTCTATGAGTGAAGAGATTTCTGCACTGGAGTAAACAAATGCGAAGGTCGGGGACATTCTTCAGGGAAGGTGTTACAAGGCAGAGAGCCAGGCTGGTACACCCACCTCGGGACATGGAGGGAGGGCTCCGCTTTGGGCAGGCTGTGAAGGGAGCATCCCTCCTGAGCATGGGCTGCCCTGCTGTGGGAATTCAGGGGCCAGTTGTTCTCTGCTGGCCCTTCTCCCGGGTGCCAGGCAGGTGGGCAGGCAGGTGCAACCCTCTCTGGCAATTCCTCTGGCATTGTTTGGTCCCCTGGTTCCTTTTACTCCCTAGACCCAACTGGATTGTAGCTAGTAGGAAGTTTCATGTCTATCCTACCTCTTTCACCCAGTCCCTGCTGTGCTTCCCAGAGGTTCATTCATTCATTCAACAAATATTTACTAAGTGCCTTCTATACGCCAGGCGCATGTTAGCTGCTGAGGGATACAGCAGTGAACAAGGCCAGAGAGCAGAATTCTTGCCCTCCAGCTGCTTAAGTTCTAGTGAGAAAAAGAGACAGTCATAATAGATAACAGAAGTCAGTACATTATGTAATACATGAGAAAGTGATACATCCTATCAGGAAAAAAATAGAGCAGGGGATGGGGGGGCAAGGAGTGCAGTAGGGCAACCCTGGTTGAGAAGGTGTCATTTGAACAGAACTTGTAGGTAATGAGCTATGCTGTGGATGTCTAGGGGAAGATCTGTCTAGGCAGAGGGACTTGCCCCCAGATAGGGGGCTGGTGTGTTCAGGGAACAGTAGGGGGACCAGCGTGTTGAGCAGAGGGAGGGAGGAGATGGGCCAGAGGGTAAATGGAGAGCCATGGTCAGGACTATGGAACACGATGAGAGCCAGTGGAGGCTGCTGAGCCTGGGAGTAAGGGGATGCTCCCTGGCAGCTGTGTCAAGAATGGGCTTGGAGGCAGAAACCAGTTAGGAGGTTACTGTGGTAGCAGGGAGGGGACCGATGATGGCTCAGACTGGGAGTGAGTGGAGAATGACCAGAGTGGGTGCTGAGGTGGCTAAGCACCTTGCTAGTGTCTAGTGTTGATCTAGAGTGATTTTGTACAAATACAAACCAATGAGAAATCTGTTCTCTCACCATTTCTTTTCTCTTTTTCTTCTTCTTTTTTTTTTTTTAAGACAGGGTCTTGCTCTGTTACCCAGACTGGAGTGCCGTGGTGCAATCATAGGTCACTGCAGCCTCGAACTCCTGAATTCAATAAATCCTCCCACTTCAGTCTCCTGAGTAGCTGAAACTACAGACACATGCTACCACTCCTGCCTGCTTTTCAAAAAATTTTGTAGAGACAGGATTCTACCATGTTGCCCAGGCTGGTCTCGAACTCCTGGGCTCAAGTGATCCTCCCATGTTGGCCTCCCAAGGTGCTGGGATTACAGGCATGAGCTACCACACCCACTCTTTCCCCCATAGCAAGGTAGCATATTAACTTCCTGGGACTGTCTGGCCATGTCCCAAAGTGACACTGAGGCCAAGAGAGGGTGAGGGGGCTAGTGACAGCTGCTGTGTTTCACCAAGAAGCATCTCCTTCCTATGTGGCTGGGAGGGGTTCAGTGCCACAGCTCTGTGGGGTGGGATGGGCGGGTACTGGGCACTCTCCAGAAATTCCAAACACACTCACCCTTTAACCTAGCAAGCTTATTTCTAGATTTTCTCCTACGGATTCACCTGCACGTGGCAAAATGCTTCTGTACAAGGCTACTCATCGTTTATAGTGATAGCAACATGTTAGTCACAACCAAAGTGTCTGTCATTCAGAGTTTGGTCAAGTGAATGGCCATACATCCATATATGCCTTTCCAGCCCTGTGGCCTGGGTTTCAATTCTGCAGCAGTTCCTCCCTGCCTGGCTCCTTATCCTCCTGGAACCTCCACACTTAATGCTGGACAGGCCGGGGTGCTGTCCACGCCTGTGGTGCTGAAGACAGCGGGGCTGGAGAGAGGCCTGGCACTGTAAACCACAGACTGACAAAAGAGCAGCGGGACGTTCAGGGTTGCTTAACCCCTCTGATCCTCAGTGTCCTTATCTGTAAAATGAGGCTGCCATGAAGATTGATTGATAGCAGCAATGTAAAGCCTGAGCACACTGAGAAAATAAATGTTATTTTTTTTTTATTGAGACAGAGACTCACTCTGTTAACCAGGCTGGGGTGCACTGGCACCATCTCAGTTCACTGCATTCTCCACCTCCCCAGTTCAAGTGATCCTCCCACCTCAGCCTCCCCAGTAGCTGGGATTACAGCCATGCACCACCATGCCTGGCTAATTTTTGTATTTTTAGTAGAGACAGGGTTTCACCATGCTGGTCAGGCTGGTCTTGGACTCCTGACCTCAAGTGATCCACCCACCTTGGCCTCCCAAGGTGCTGGAATTTCAGGCATGAGCCAACACGTCCAGCCAATAAATGGTAATTTTTACTCTGTCATTTTAGAGATGGTGAAGCATAGTGGTTAAGCTTTTGGACACTGGAGTGACGACGCCTGGATTTGTTTCTTGGCTCTGCCGCCTGTTGGATGGATGATCTTGAACAAGTGACGTGACCAATATGTGCCTCGGTTTCCACATCTGTGAACTGAGGTTAATAATAGACCCCGTATCATAGGAAATTGTGGGGATTAGATGAGTTCATTTACATGAGGCACTTGGCACATGACAGGGGTTCCCTCAGTGTCAGCTATTTATCATCACTTTCCTCCCCGTTGGCATTGTCAACCTGTTCTAGCACCCCCAGCCTCTCTGTTCACAGCGGCCACTGTTACTCACAGCCACCCCCATCTGTACTGCACTGTGGTGGGGCTGGGGCTCCTGGAGGAAGACAGCACCTTGCCCTGCAGATGCCCTGGCTTCTAGCCCAGTCCTGCCACTGACTTCCTATGTAACTTTAGGCAAATTGCTGTTCCCTTCTGGCCATCAGTCTCTGCGCCTGTAAAATGGGGCTAATGATACTTTGTGCAGGCCCTTGGGAAAATAGCTATGTGCCTACAGGGTCACATTCAGGAAAGCCAAGATATAAAAAGTTACAAATTCCCAAACACAGAGAATTATTCACCCAGCATTTGTCACACCCTGGCTAAGTGCTGGGAATAGTGAGATGATGAAGGCATAGGGCCTGCTTTCAAGGAGCTCTTGGGTTTCTTGCTGGGTTGTTAATCCCCTTCAATTCTGGTGCCAGCTCCTGATTTAGGAAGCTGCCCGATCCCCACTGCCAGGGCCCTCCTTGGAAATGTTGGAGCGCTGACCATTGCCATCCTGGCCTTATGGTTATCTGTGTTCATGTTTTACCTGCCTCTCTGATTTGTGGGCTCATTGCCATTTGTCTGCATTGCTCTAATGTACGCACCCCATGCCAGCACCCCACCCCATGCCTGAGCCCGAGTAGCTCGCAAGTTACATAAACTCAACTCAAACCAGCTGAATTAAGCCAAAAAGGAAGTATATTGATTCGTGAAACAAATGTTCAGGAGTATAATTGGCTTTAGGCATGCCTGGCCCCAGAACTCAAAGTCATCGGAAATCTCTCCACCATTCTCTCCTCTCTGCTTACATCTTTGTTGCTTTATTCTCAATTGGGCTCTCCCCTTCCCCCATGAAGGAAAAGCCAACTCACAGCAGCAGTGCAACTGTGTCCTGCAGCCTTGCAGCCCAGGGTGAGAGGGTCTCTCTTTCCCTATGGCTACAGCAACAGTCCTAGGGCTAGATCTCAGTGGGTCATGTTTGATCACTTGTTCATCTCTGAACAAGTCACAGTGACCTGGCAGATGGGATCCATCTGCTGATTACCCAGGCCCTCCCTGCAAAACCATGGTGGAGACACCCATTCTAAACTTCATGGGCAGAGAGAGAGAGGGCCATTACCACAAGAAACTGATGGTGGAACAGAAAACTCCACGTTCTCATTCAAGAATTTACTGAAAATATGTCAGCAAGGCAAGGATTTAGTCAGATCTTGTTTTAAAACAATTTATCTGACTATGTATATAAAAAGGTCAGGGCCAGGCATGGTGACTCAGGCCTGTAATCTCAGCACTTTGGGAGGCCGAGGCAGGTGGATCGCTTGAGGTCAGGAGTTCAAGACCATCCTGGCCAATATGGTGAAACCCTACATCTACTAAAATAGAAAAATTAGCCTGGTGTGATGGCAGGTGCCTGTAATCCCAGCTACTCGGGAGTCTGAGGCAGGAGAAGCGCTTGAACCCAGGAGGTAGAGGTTGCAGTGAGCCAAGATTGTGCCACTGTACTCCAATGTGGGTGACTGAGTGAGACTCTCTCAAAAGAAAGAAAAAAAGATCAGGGCCAGGTGTGGTGGCTCACACCTGTAATTCCAGCACTTTGTGAGGCCAAGGCGGGTGAATCACCTGAGGTCAGAAGTTTGAGACCAGTGTGGCCAACATGGTGAAGCCCTGTCTCTACTAAAAATACAAAATTAGCTGGGTGTGGTAGCACGCGCCTGTAATCCCAGCTACTTGGGAGGCTGAAGCACAAGAATCACTTGAACCCGGGAGGTATAGGTTGCAGTGAGCTGAGATTGAGCCATTGCACTCCAGCCTGGGCGACAAGAGAGAAACTCTGTCTCCCCCCACCAAAAAAAAAAAAAGAAAAAAAAATCAGGGAGCAGGAAGAAACCTAGAGGCAAGTGAGGGGTCATATGGAGGTGCAGAGAGTTGGTCCAGTCCTGCAGGCTAAGGGAATTCAGCTCTGGCCCCCTTGCCTTACAGAGAAGCAAAGTGAAGCAAGTGAGAGAGGTCAGAGGTGTTTGGGGCCTGAATTTCCACCATATGCTGCTTTTTTCACACGGGCTTTTAATAATAATACTAACCTAGAAGTAAGGTGACCTACCCAGGAACAATCCTCCTGTCCATCCTTCCTTCCAGGCCAACACCTTATTAAGGACACCCTTGGAATCTGCCCATGCTAGGGACATAGCACAAGTCTAGTGGCCTGAGGGAGAAGACCTGGGCTTGGGGACAGAGAATCTCTTGGGATCCCAGCATGAGAGTCAGAAAGGCCTTCCTGGCATCACTTGGTACAACCTCGAGCCCCCGACTGCGTCCCCAGCAGATGAGCATCTAGCCTCGCTTCTCCACCCCTGGTGAGCACAACGCACTTGCTTCCTGCTGCTTCTTTTGAGTCGATGTCTGCCTGGGTCTGCCTTCAGAGCCTTGGAAAATGCAGTGCATGTGAGCATGGGATCTGAAGTCCAAAAGCCTGAGTTCAAATCCCAGCACTGCTGATCACGAGCTCTTGGGCAGGTTACCCAGCTCATCCATGCCTCAGTGTCATCTTAGTCCATTTTGTGCTGCTATAACAGAATAAATACCCTAGATGGCATAGTTTGTAATGAACGGAAATTTTTTTTGCAGCTCTGGAGACTGGGAAGTCCAAGATCAAGGCACCAGCATTTGGTGAGGGTCTTCTTGCCATGTCATCCCACAGCAAGAGGGCAAGGGAGAGAGGAAGGAAGGGGAGGGATCAGCCCAAAGAGGGCCAGACATCCTTTTATGAGGAATCCACTCTTGGAATAACAGCGTTAATTCATTAACAAGAACAGAGCTTTCATGGTCTAATCACCTCTTAAAGAACCCACCTCAAGCCTGGTACAGTGGCCCATGCCTGTAATTCTAACACTTTGGGAGGCCAGGGCAGGTGGATCACCTGAAATCAGGAGTTTGAGACAGGCCAGTATGGCCAATAGGAAGAAACCCCATCTCTACTAAAAAGACAAAAGTACCATCCTAGTTAACCGCCTCTGACCATATTCCAGGCTGTTCAAATGTACTATCTTGGTTTTTGTTTTGTTTGAGACCGAGTCTCACTCTGTCACCCAGGCTGAAGTGCAAGGGCACAATCTTGACTCATTGCAACCTCCACCTCCTGGGTTCAAGTGATTCTTCTGCCTCAGCCTCCCGAGTAGCGGGGATTACAGGCACACGCCACCAAGCCCAGCTAATTTTTGCATTTTTAGTAGAGCCATGGTTTCACTATGTTGACCAGGCTGGTCTCAAACTCCTGACCTCAAGTGATCCGCCTGCCTTGGCCTCCAAAAGTACTGGGATTACAGGTGTGAGCCACCATGCCTGGCTTTTTTTTTTTTTTCTGAGACAGGGTCTCACTCTGTTGAAACCTCACAAGCTCAAGTGATGCTTCCACCTCACTTTCCCAAGTATCTGGGACTACAGGCATGTCCCACCATGCCCAGCTAATTTTTTTTATTTCTTTGTAGAGATGAAGTTCTCACTGTGTTACCCAGACTGATCTTGAACTCCTGGGCTCAAGCAATCCACCTGCCTTGTCCTCCCGATCCAACTTCTGGGATTGCAGGCACAAGCCATCATGCCTGGCGTTCTTTGCGGGTGTGTGGGTGTGTGTGTTCGTGTGTGTGTGTGTATTTTATTTTATTTTATTTTATTTTGCCATTATCCCCTCTAACCTTGTATCTCATTTTTGTTTTTAACTGATAGATTTGGGATCCTTGCTCTGTTGTCCAGGCTGGAATACAGTGGTGTTACCATGTCTCACTGCAGCCTCAAACTCCTGGCCTCAAGCAGTTGTCCCGCCTCAGACTCCCAAAGTGGTGGGACTACAGGTGCCATCACATGCAGCCCCAGATCTGAGCTCTTCTGCTTACTTGATGCATAACCTTTGAATTGGGGTAGTGCCAGCTGCTATAACAAACAAGCCCCCATATCCCAGCAGCTGAGCACGATGGAAGTTTCCCAGTGGCTCACACAATGCAGATGGGCAGTCCTCCCCAGCAGGAGGCCTTCCACACAGTGACATGGGGACCCAGGTGCCTCCTCTCTTGTGGCTCCACCATCTTCTGGGGTTTTGGAGTCCTCTGCATCAAACCAGCCACAGAAGAAGAGAGCACAGATGAACCTTCCCCAATCCTTTGAAGCCCCAGGCTGGCAGCGACACACATACCACTTCTGTGCGCATTCCAGTGGGGAGCCTGTCACATGGCCGGCCTGGAGCAAGGGAGGCTGAGAAACGTGGTTCCCTGCTGGATGGCCACTCTCCAGCCCGTCTTTGTAGTATAGGAGAGGACACACACATTGCTGAGGCACGGTTGGCTGTCTGTGTCATAACTGGGCAAATCATCCGCCTCTGGGGCCTCTTTTGTTGTCTGTTTAATAGAAGGCATCACTCGGTTGTGGTGATGGCTACACAGCCCTGTACATTCACTAAAATCATTCAGTGGTGTACTCAATAGAGGAGTTTGGTGCTATGTAAGTGCTACCTCAATTAAGCTATTTTTTTCAAAATAGGAATTCAAGCTGGACATGGTGGCGCACACATGTGGTCTTACCTACTTGGGAGGCTGAGGCAGGAGGATTATTTGAGCCAGGAGGTTCAAGACCACCCCAGGCAAAATGGGGAAACCTCGTCTCAAGCAAATGCAAATGCTTTAAAAAATAAAATAATAGAAAGCACCTCACCCCAGGGGTCTTGTGAGGACTTAGTGAGTGAAATTTTTCCAAGTTGGCCGCAACATGTAGGTCTGTGGATGTGCACATGTGTGCATGCGTGTCTGTATGTGTATGCTTGTGCATCCGCGCGCGCCCGCGTGTGTGTGTGTGTGTGTGTGTGTGTGTGTGTATGAGGTGGGGGGAGGGGAACAAGGACTCCAAAGTAGGCCTGAGGCCAGACGATGAGTTGGGTGTCGTTTCGTAAGGGTGTTGCCAGCTCGAGCCGACTGCCAGCAGGAAGTGGTGGGCGGCTCAGTCTTGCTTCTTGCTTGGGAAACCCTCCCCCACTACCGTGGCCCTCTCAGCATGTGGCAGAACCCTGACTGCTGCCATGAGGTCGGGGGTGGGGGGACCCCCACCCACCCCACCCACCCTCAGCAATACAGATGGCAGATGGAGGCCTCCCTTGGGGCTGGTGAGGACACACCCTTGAGGCGAGAGGTGGATGTGCCTTTCCCCCACCCTCTTGAGTGTGGGTGGATGCCGTGCTGACTGCCCAGCATGAACAGAGGTCAGAGGCCTCCGCTGCCTGGTGCTGGCAGGCTCACAGCCATCATGTCCACAGCTCCTCCTTCAATGGGAGGCAGGGATGACCAATTTCCCTGGCAGGGGAATCTGGGTGTGGTGTTCCCAACATCCTGCCTTGGGAAAGCACGGGTGAGAGCTACCAGCTTTGGAGCCAACACCAATGCTACCTGTGTGACATTGGTCTGTGCCTGTTTCCTCATCTCAAAAGCCAGTGCCTCGGCTCACACCTGTAATCCCAGCCCTTTGAGAGGCCAAGGCAGGAGGATCGATTGAGGCCAAGAATTGGAGACCAGCCAGGGCAACAAAGTGAGACCCCATCTCTGTTATTTTTTAAGTGGAGCTAACAGTAATGCCTGTCTCATAGTTGTGAAGGTTAAGTGCGTTGGTCTGAGGACAGCCCGGCAGGTGGTAGGTCCTGTGTGAATGCTGGTGCTGTTATTATTGACGTTGTTACTGTTATTTCTTCACTGTAGGGATGGGGAAGCAGAGGCCCAGAGCAGTGGTGTGACTTGCTCAAGGTTACCCAGTAAAAAAAGTGGCACACGTTAGGATCAAGGCCAAGCCTCAAGGCCCGTGGTATCTCCATTGCTCCCCCCGTGCCTCTGAAGCCGCGTGCATTGGAACTGGGTCAGAGGCAGTGTGTACCTGGTGGATGACGCAGCGGCAGGGATGGGCGCCTGGATTAATTCCTTGTCTCCTGCTGACACCTTGCGAAGAACAGGCCTGAAGGAAGAGGGAGGTGTGGAGGGAGAAGAAGGGGGGACAGTAGAGGGACCCCCAAAGCTGAGCCCTACAAACCAGGAAGAGGATGCCAGAGAGGGTGAATCTGATTGAGCCTCTGTCCCTGGGGAGTTCTTGGTTTGTTGATGGGACAGACAGGGACACAGCTAAGACCACCCCCAAGGTATTCAACAGGGGCCCTGAGGGAGGGACAGGTGGCCCCTATGAATCTTGGCATTCAGCAGAGGCAGGACTCAGCACATGTGGGGGCAGCAAGGAAGTCTTCCTGGAGGAGGGAGACCTGATGATGAGGAGGCACAATGGGGAGGTAGAACAGGCAGGAGAGACTGTTCAGGAATCGAGGAGCAGATGGGATAGAGGACACTAAAGCCTTAGAGAAGTAAGGGTGGTGGCTTGGCAGGAGGATCACTTGAGGATAGGAGTTTAAAAGCAGCCTGGACAACATAGTGAGATTCCCATCTCTAAACTTAAAAAATTAGCTGTGCACCGTGATGCACATCTGCAGTCCTAGCTACTTGTGAGGCTGAGATGGGAGGACTGCCTGAGCCCAAGAGTTGAAGGCTACAGTGAGCTAGGATTTGCACTCCAGCCTGAGCAACAAAGCAAGATCCTGTTTCTTAAAAAAGAAGAAGAAGAAGAAACTAAAATAAATAAGCTCATTAAATAAAGCCCTAGAGAGGCAGTGAGAGGCAGTGTGGGGTAGTGGTCAGAGAATGGGCTGAACCTGACAGTGGGGGCACACATGGGGCCTAAACTGAGCCCACTGGGCTGTGTCCCTGATTCAGCCCCGCCCTTCCCAGGGTGACTCTGAGGCCCAGAGGGCAGAGATGGGCCAGGCACCCCATCCCTGGGTATGGGAGGGAGGGAGGACTTATGGCCACTGGCGACCGGCCATTAAGCTCCCAGGGGACACAGAACAGCCTGAGGTGGCCTGGCAGGGCCAAAGCCCAAGGTGGGAGGATTGCACACGTGTGGACAAGTGTGCTGCAAGCACGTGGACCGCCCACCTCAGCAGCCCTTGGGGACTCCACACGCATCAGGAAAAGTAGGTCAGGGGAGCAGCCCAGCGTCTCCCTGGTGGGCGTGGGGAGGAGTTTGAGGCAAAGAGGGCTATGTGCTCATCAGAGCCCCTGGGGGACAAACCCACAGTCCACACAGAAAGGGCCCAAGGATGCAGCTGACCTGAGGAGGCCCGTACAGAAGCAGGCTTGCCTTACCCTGCTGGTGTCCTGGTGTTTGCCTCGGTTTTCTAACTCAGAAGCCTCATCACCCAGGTGGTGGGTGGACATTTCCCAGGGGTTGGAAGAGATTTTTTCCAAGCCTCAGACCAGGGAAAGACCGTCACGCAGAGATATCGCCCCATGGAAGCCCAGTTGGTGGCTGCAGGAAAGACCCAGTGCTGCCCCGCCCAGAGCTGGGACTGCATGGAGACACGGTGGCAGGTGGCATGTCTGCGTTTGGGTCAGCACGCTAGGGTAGAGAGGAAGGGCGTGCGGGACCCGGTTCTCTGGGCCTGGCCCCGTTCCTACCTCTGGAGGAGGGGACTGTGGAATGGGCGAGGCCGGGGCACTTGTTTAGGTGGAAATGAGCTAGGAAAGAAAAGGCAATTGCTGAGGAGGAAGGTCCTGTTAGAACAGGGGTGAGGAGGCCAGGTGCTATGGCTCATGCCTGTAATCCCAGCACTTTAGGAGGCCAAGGTAGGAGGATCACTTGAGCCCAGGAGTTCAAGACTGGCTTGGGCAATATAGTGCACCCCCATCTCTACAAAAAATAAATATGAAAAAGATTAGCTGGGCATGGTGGTGCACGCCTGTGGTCCCACCTACTCAGGAGGCTGGGGTGGGAGGATTGCTTGAGCCCAGGAGTTAGAGGCTTCAGTGAGCCATGTGCGTACCACTGCACTCCAGCCTGGGCAACAGAGTGAGACCCTGTTTAAAAAAAAAAAGTAAAATTTAAAAAACAACAGGGATGGCTGGGTGTGGTGGCTCACATCTGTAATCCCAGCACTCTGGAGGATTGCTTGAGGTCAGGAGTTCAACATGGTGAAACCCCATCTCTACAAAAAATACAGAAATTCGCCAGGTGTGGTGTTGCACACCCTGTGGTCCCAGCTACTTAGGAAGCTAAGATGGGAGGATTGCCTGAATCTAGGAGGCGGAGTTGCAGTGAACTGAGATCATGCCCCTGCACTCAGTTCACATCATCCAGCCTGGGTGACAAAGCGAGCCCCTGCCTCAAAAAAATAGATAGATAGATAGATAGATAGATAGATAGATAGATAGATAGATAGATGATAGATTAGATAGATAGATAGATGATAGATGAGATGAACTGGTTCATGAATGGAGGGAGGGAGGCAGGAGGCTGGGAGATGGGGCTGAGAGCAGGCTGCGGGGTGGGGAGGGGAGGGCTCCTTCCTCCCCAGCCAGCTGAGAGGACGGTGCAGATGGAGCTCCGTTTGGGGCTGGGTGGGAGGCCAGGAAGTTCTCTCCTGATGTTCCTCCTCTCCGCGTGAAGTGGGAGGCTGGGTCGTGCCGAGAGTGAAGGGGAAGGCAGAGGAGGAGGAGAGGCTTGGGGCCTGGAAGGGAGCTGCTGGGCCAGGTGAAGATGCAGGGCCTGGGGAGTGCTTCTAGCCTCCAGCCATGCCCACCCGCCCTTGCTCAGCCAGAGAGAAAGCAGTGATGACTGGAATAACACAGCACCGCACCCCCCCAGGCACCTATGGAGCACTTCCTGCTTGCCGCAAGCCAGGTTTCACGTGGTTAACTTATTTAACCCTCACAACAATCCACAGGGAGAAGGCACTGCTGTTATTATTATTATATTTAGATAGGGTCTCACTTGTCATCTGGGCTGGAGTACAGTGGAGTGATCATATCTCACTGCAGCCTCAAATTCCTGGTGCAAGCAATTCTCCTGCCTCTGCCTCCTGAGTAGCTGGGACTACAGGTGTGCACCACCACACCCGGCTAACATCATCTTTTATTTTTTATTTTTGTGGAGACATGGTCTTGCAAAGACTGGTCTCACACACCTGGCCTCAAGCAATCCTCTTGCCTTGACCTCCCAGAGTGTGGGATCAGAGACGTGAGCCACCTTGCCTGGCCCAATACACTATTATTATATCCTTTGTATAGATGAGGAAACAGGCACAGAGAGATGACGTAACTTGCCCAAGGACATCCAGTAGCAAGTGACAGAGTTGGACTCAGACCCAGGCTGTCTGGCTCTACGTCTGTGCCTTCTCCCAGATGGAGCTGTGGTCCCTGTTCTTCAGGGTGCGGGGGTGCTTAGGGGCAGGCTAGGGACGCTGGAGTGACATGTCTGGGATTAGAGGAAAAGGGGCCGGTGTGGTGGCGCACGCCTGTAATCCCAGCACTTTGGGAGGCCGAGGTGGGTGGATCACCTGAGGTCAGGAGTTCAAGACCAGCCCAGTCAACATGATAAAACCCCGTCTCTACTAAAAATACAAAAATAAGCTGGGTGTGGTGGCAGATGCCTATAATCCCAGCTACCCAGGAGGCTGAGGTGGGAGAATCACTTGAACCTGGGAGGTAGAGGTTGTAGTGAGCTGAGATCGCACCACTGCACTCCAGCAGTGACAAGGGCGAAACTCTGTTCCCCTCTCCCCAAAAAAAGGTATTTGAAAAAAATAAAAAAGAGGGAGAAGGGAGTGCAAGGAGGGCAGAGGGAGGCTGCACCGGGAAGCAGGTGCCCAGGGGCTAGAGGCCAGTGGCAGCTTCTAAAAGAGGTAGCCCAGGCCCCTCCTGCTGGTGCACACACAGACACATACTCATGTGTGTCTGTACCTGGAAAAGGCTCGTCCCCCTGGTCTGTCCCTTCCCATTTACAAATGAGAAATGCACACCCAGAGTGGTTGCCTGGAAGACAGGGGCAGGGAGGGATGGGGTTTTAGAAAGGGGCAAAAGGGGCCAGGTGCAGTGGCTTATGCCTGTAATCCCTGCACTTTAGGAGGCCAAAGCAGGTGGATCACCAGGTCAGGAGTTTCAGAACAGCCTGCCCAACATGGTGAAACCTCGTCTCTACTAAAAGTACAAACATTAGTCCAGCGCAGTGCCGGGTGCCTGTGATCCCAGCTAGTGGGGAGGCTGAGGCAGGAGAATCGCTTGAACCCAGGAGGCGGAGGTTGCAGTGAGCTGAGATCTCACCACTGCACTCCAGCCTGGGTGACAGAGCAAGACTCCATCTCAAAAAAAAAAAAAGAGGCAAAGGGAAACTTTGGGGTAATGGATGTGTTCGTGGTCTCTATGGCCGGGATGTATATATATGTCAGAATCATCACACTGTACACTCCAATATGTATAGTTTATTATACACCAAACATGTCTCAATAAAACTAGAAAAATGGCATAAGGGGAAGTAAGAAATGAAGGCCATAGACACAGAATTAGTTCACTGTCACCCATGTGACAAGGCAGGTCTCAGCCCAGTGTGGTGGCTCACGCTGTAGTCCCAGCACTTTGGGAGGCTGAGGTGGAAGGACCGCTTTATCTCAGGACTCCAACCAGCCTGGAAAACAGCAAGACCCCATCTCTACAAAACATTTCAACATTAGCCAGAGGTGGGGGTGCATTCCTGCAGTCTCAGGAGGTCAAGGCAGGACGATCCTTTGAGCCCAGGAGTTTGAGGCTCCAGTGAGCTATGATCACCCTACTGCACTCCAGCCTGGGCGACAGAGCAAGACCCTATCTCAAGACAAATACAATTTTCATTTTTTGAGACTGTGTCTCGCTCTTTCACCCAGGCTGGAGTGCAGCGGCACAATCTCTGCTCACCGCAGCCTCTGCCTCCAGGGTTCAAGCAGTTCTCCTGCCTCAACCTCCTGAGTAGCTGGGATTACAGGTGTGCACCACCATGCCCAGCTAATTTTTGTATTTTTAGTAGAGGCAGGGTTTCACCGCCGGGCATAGTGGCTCACACCTGTAATCCAAGCACTTTGGAGGCCAAGATGGGTGGATCACTTGAGGTCGGGAGTTCAAGACCAGCCTGACCAACATGGTGAAACCCCGTCTTTAAATTAAAAAAAAAAAAAGAAGAGACAGAGTTTCACCACACTGACTAGTCTGGTCTTAAACTCCTGACCTCAAGTGATCTGCCTGCCTTGGCTTCCCAAAGTGCTAGGATTACAGGTGTGAGCCACTGTGTCCAGCCTAAATATACTTTTTTAAAAAAGTCTGGTCTCCCGCCCCAGCTCTGGACTGCACCCCTGCATCTCTGTGCCTCCCTCGCACCCACAGTCAATCCACTTGGGGACAAACTCAGTAGCTACGAGGGGTGTGTCCAGGAAGACTGTCTCAGCTTGTGTAGATGTCGAAGGGGTCAGACAGGCTGGGAGTCGGGGGTGGGGGGCTAGGTATTTGGGAACAGGTGCCTTATCTTTGTGTCTGGGCAGGGCTTGAGGGAGACCCTGGAACACAGCTGTAGCGTATGTTCCTGAGTCAGGTGGTGCTGTTGTCTGCGGTGGGGGAGGCACACCAGGCTGTGCTGAGGTATGGCCATGTGTGTGGTGGTATGGTGTGGCCCATCTGTACTGTCCTGCAGGTTTGGCCTAAGACCACGTGGCCAAGATAGGTGATGGTGCAGTTGGGGTCCTTAGACCTCTTCGTCCCCATCTCTGACCATATGGACAGCCCACACCACTTCTGATCATAATATACAATTGGTGTGACCACTGTGTCCACTGCCCCTCTCCCCCGGTGTGTAAGCCCCATGGGGGCCGGGAGTCCTAGACATTTGTTCAGTGCCATGTCCTCCGGGCATTGGAGAGCCCTGGGGAACAGCAGGTGCTTCATCAATACTTGTGAATAAGCCAGGCATGGTGGCTCATGCCAGTAATCCCAGTGCTTTGGGTGGCTGAGGCAGGAGGATCACTTGAGGCCAGGAGTTCTAGACCAGCCTGGGCAACATAGTGAGACCCCAACTCTACAAAAATAAAAATAAAAAATTAGCCAGGCATGATAGGGGCAGCGAAGTACAATGACACACGTCTACCTGTGTGAGAAAGCTGCACATCCTGCACATGTACCCCAGAACTAGAAATTAAAAATAAATAAATAAAATTAGCCAGGTGTAGTCCAGCCTACCTAGGAGGCTGAGGTGGGAGGACAGCTTAAGCCTGGGAGGTGAAGGCTGCAGTGAGCCATGATCCGCGCCACTGCACTCCAGCCTGGATGACAGAGCAAGGCCCCATCTCTGAAATAAAAATTAAAACAGACCAGGTGCAGTAGCTCATACCTGTAATCCCAGCACTTTGGGAGGGCCAGGCAGAAGGATCACTTGAGGCCAGGATTTCGAGACCAGCCTGGGGCACATAGTGAGACCCCCTCTCTACAATCAAAACAAAACCAACGCTTGTGAATGGGAGTACCCGTGTGAACTCAGTATCTGGCTGTGTCTGTGTGACATAAATACAGGGCGTTGCCTGACACTGTGTGGGTGGCAGCATGAGGCAGAGGGACCGGTGCCACCAAGCGCAGGGTCAAGCAGTGACTGTCTTGGGGGAGCTGACTCAAGCCTGGCCCCTGAAGCTTTGGGGAAGGTGACACAACCAAGATGCTTGTCGCCCCCTTGTGGTTATCTTGGGCCTGGCAGCCGGGCCCAGCCTCAAGTTTCTGAGCGCTGGGGAGGACCGAGGGGCTGGAGGAGAGGACCCTGGACTGATGTCACACTACATGCTCACCTCCCCCATCCCCGACCAAACAGGGAGAAGATGAGCGTGGGCTGCCCAGAGCCTGAGCCGCCCCGCTCCCTGCCCTGCTGTGGGCCGGGGACTGCCCCGGGACCTGGAGCAGGCGTGCCCCTTCTCACTGAAGACATGCAGGCCCTGACCCTCCGCACACTGGCCGCCAGCGATGTCACCAAGCATTACGAACTAGTCCGGGAGCTGGGCAAAGGCACCTACGGGAAGGTTGATCTGGTGGTCTACAAGGGCACAGGTGAGCGAGTGCAGGCTGGCAGCGCTGGAAGGTAAGGGTGGGGGGACACGGCCTTCCAACTGGGCCGGTGCTCTCTGGTGCTCTGTGGGTGCTGGGAGGCAGGGGCACGGGCCACATGGAGAGGATGAGGCCTGAAGCAGCCAGGGAGAAGGAGACTGGGCAGATAGGGCAAGGGAGGAATAGGGACAGAGTGGTCTGGCTGCAGGGTGGGCTGCTGTGAGGATATCTGGGGTGCCTTTGACACAGCCAAGGGGCTGTGCTAGGGGCCTCTGGAGAGGGCAGGGCTCGTGTCTTTGTCTGGGCATCACCAGTATCTGAGCAATGGCTGACCCCAGGTAGATGGACAGAGAGTGAGGGCAGTTCCTCGGGAACAGGGTGCCACACTTAATGGATGGTAGAAGGACCTGCGAGATCAGTATGGCCATTACCATCTCTCGGGAGGACAGTGAGACCCAGGCCGATTCAGCCACATAGCCAAGGCCATGCAGCTTCAGAGGCCATGAACTAAAACGAGACGCCAGGAGTCATCTCCAGAGCCTTGTCGCTTAGTCACTGAGCTTGATACCTCCCCCCACACTGTAGGTCACAGCCATGCCACCTAGCCAGACAGGGGCAGGGGCTGCGTGAGCTCCCACAACTGCACACACCTAGGTCCGGGGGCTCTGTGTCAACTGAGGGCAGCAGAAGGAGCACCCAACATGGGGTCACCTGAACTTTGTTACTTGCTTGCTGTGTAACCTTGCACAAGTGACTTCACCTCTCTGTGCTTCGGTGTCCTTCTCTGTAAAATAGGGTAACGTATGTGCTTAACTCATAGGGTCATAATGACGTGTGAGTTGTGAATGTGCAGTGCTGAAGGCAGGGCCTGTGATGCCTAAATGCTCCGTGGACACACAGGTGTACACCACACAGCTATGTACCAGATGGGCACAGATGCTTACCCAGGCACAGCATTGTGGACACCTGCCTTGCCGTGTCTCATTTCTTATTCATTCATACATTTAACAAGACTGGAAGTTCAGGGAGACCGGATCTAGCTGGGGTAGACCAACAAGATAAATAAGCATATAACAGACAGGACAAAATGAGAGAGGTGGAGGGCGCCACAAGCCCCCTTGCCCCCTCCTCCTGGAGGACTGCAGACTGGGTGTAGAAGGCCCAGGTTGAACCTGCCTCCATGGCCTTGGGCAAGCCCTTTCCTCTCCCTGGGTCTGCTCCCTATCCATAAGATGAGGCAGTCGTGCCCCGTTGTGCCTTGTTCTGGAGACGGGCATGGGTACATCCAGCACAGAGGTGCTGGGAGAGAGGGCTTCACCCCTGTTGCTGTTGCTCCCATCAGGCACAAAAATGGCACTGAAGTTTGTGAACAAGAGCAAAACCAAGCTGAAGAACTTTCTGCGGGAGGTGAGCATCACCAACAGCCTCTCCTCCAGCCCCTTCATCATCAAGGTTTTTGACGTCGTCTTTGAGACAGAGGACTGCTACGTCTTTGCCCAGGAGTACGCACCTGCTGGGGACCTGTTTGACATCATCCCTCCCCAGGTACTCGGGATGGTGGCATAGGGTGGGGAGAGGGTCTCCAGGGTCCCCAGAGTGTGAGATAGGACTGGAGTCAGACCATTTAGTCAGCAGGTATTTATTGGGCGCCTGCCATGTCAGTTACCATTCCGGGAGCTGGGATGTGCAGTGAGGAAGATAAAAGTCCCTGTTCTAGTGGGAAACTGACACTCCGCAGTGAGCCAGATAATAGCAGATGGAGTTGAGCACCTGAAAGGAGACGGTGAGAATGAAGGGATGAAGTCCCACTGCGCCTTCTCCTGGGGCTGGACAAGAGGAGAGGTGTGAGATCCCGGGAAGGAGGCCTCAGAGGAAGTGACCCTGGAGCCAGCAGGGTGGGGGAGGACTCCAGGCACTGGCTTTAAATCTGCTCTGCCACATGCTGGCTGTGATGAGACCTTCGGAGCAGATCCTCCCTCTTTGCTGAGCACCTACCTCCCAGAATCTGGAGACAAAGATGCACAGATACAGCAGGGAACAAGACAGGAAGCTCGGGGAACCCGGTTCTAGTGGGGTTAAATATCTAGCAGGCAGGGCAAACTGAGAGCAGGTGGAGGGCACCGCGGACCTCCTCATCAACCTCCTCCTGGAGAGCCATGTGTCCCTTCTGGAGCCCCAATGCCCCCATAGGAGAAGCAGCCATAATAGCCACTCTGAGGCTTGGATGAGACAGCGAGAGAAAGGGCAGTCTGCAGCAGCAGGGGCGCATCTGCGCCATCACTGCAGTTACTGGGGACAGGGTGGAAGGCGAAAACCACCCCGCTAGAGAGGGAGCTGGAAGGGAGGGCGGCGGGGCGGGCACGGGAGAGCTGGAAAGCAAGCGCGGCTCCCCCCACCCCCGGCCGCCCGCAGGTGGGGCTCCCCGAGGACACGGTGAAGCGCTGCGTGCAGCAGCTGGGCCTGGCGCTGGACTTCATGCACGGGCGGCAGCTGGTGCACCGCGACATCAAGCCAGAGAACGTGCTGCTGTTCGACCGCGAGTGCCGCCGCGTGAAGCTGGCCGACTTCGGTATGACGCGCCGCGTGGGCTGCCGCGTCAAGCGCGTGAGCGGCACCATCCCCTACACGGCGCCCGAGGTGTGCCAGGCGGGCCGCGCCGACGGTCTGGCGGTGGACACGGGCGTGGACGTGTGGGCTTTCGGCGTGCTCATCTTCTGTGTGCTCACCGGCAACTTCCCGTGGGAGGCGGCCTCGGGCGCCGACGCCTTCTTCGAGGAGTTCGTGCGCTGGCAGCGGGGACGCCTGCCGGGGCTGCCGTCGCAGTGGCGCCGCTTCACCGAGCCTGCGCTGCGCATGTTCCAGCGCCTGCTGGCCCTGGAGCCCGAGCGCCGCGGCCCGGCCAAGGAGGTGTTCCGCTTCCTCAAGCACGAGCTCACGTCCGAGCTGCGCCGCCGGCCCTCGCACCGCGCACGCAAGCCGCCCGGGGACCGCCCGCCCGCCGCCGGGCCACTGCGCCTCGAGGCGCCCGGGCCGCTCAAGCGGACAGTGCTGACCGAGAGCGGCAGCGGCTCCCGGCCCACGCCCCCCGCCGTCGGGGCGGTGCCCGTGCCCGTGCCGGTGCCGGTACCTGTGCCGGTGCCGGTGCCGGTGCCCGAGCCCGGCCTGGCTCCCCCGGGGCCCCCCGGCCGGACCGACGGCCGCGCGGACAAGAGCAAAGGGCAGGTGGTGCTAGCCACGGCCATCGAGATCTGCGTCTGAGCCCCACCGCCCTCTGACCGGGGAACAGCCCGGGGCGCCCCAAGCCGGTGCCGGGTAAGGCGGTGGGGAATGGAGCCGCCTCGCCGCGGGGCACGGGGCGCAGCGGTAGACTAGGCGGGACGCGGCCGGGCGCCTGGTCCGTCCCGACGGGCTGGTGAAGGGGCCACCAGAGACCGCTGGCGCGGCCTGGTGGGCGGGGACTTCACCCAGAGGAGCCAAGCCCCATAGACCCAAGAATTCGGAGCCCCCCAACACACACACACACACACACACACACACGCACGCTAGGAGCAAGGGAGCTCTCGGGCCACACTTCCAGAAACCGCCATGAGCCCTGCAACCCTGGACTCGTTGCTCCTGGCCCTCCATACCCCCTGGCAGATCATCCTGCGGTCCCACCCCAGTTCCCCTCCTCCTGGCCGTCCCACTCTGCCCCTCCCTACCCTGGGCACAGAAAGGGACTGAAGTGTTGGGCAGAGAGGGGGCCTAAGGCCCCTGGGCACTGGCTGGGATCAGGGCAGTGAGCAGAGGGCAGCTGTGCCCTGCCCTTCTGGAGGCTGGAGAGGAGAGGCAAGCCCCTGGAAAATGTAGCAAATGTCTGCATGTCGTATAAGTGCGTGTATGTGCAGGACAGCCTCCAAGGAGCTAGTGACTCCTGCACACCCCCATTGCACGGATGAAATCACAGCCCAGGAAGGAGGGCAGCTTGGCACTCGCTGAGAAGCAGAGCTCTCTCCCCTCCCTCCCCCTTCTCCTCCCCCCAACCACAAGGGTTTGTCCTGACAACTTCCGGGGATAGAAGGGCTCACAGGGCAGGGATCTCGGCTGCCCCGGCATCCTTAAGTCAGGGGAGTGAATGCGAAGCTGAAGGCAGGGCCCAGCTCCCCCTGCCGGCCGCACCTTCCCAGGCCCAGGGACCTCCGCTGGGTCCTCCCAGCCCTCGCCGCCCCAGCCTAGAAAAAGTAGCTTGGGCTTCCGGCAGGTGGCGAGATGGTTCATGCTGGAAATTTCTCCTGGGTTTTGCTGGGGTCAAACATGCCAGCCTCCAAGACCCCATCCTGACGTCTCCCACATTTCTGGTACTGGAGTGTGCAGGGTGTAGGAGCTGCACGTGGGTGTGAGAATGGGGCCCATGGACTCGATGGGGCAAGTGTGTGACTAGGTGTGTGCGTAGGGTGCAGACACATGGGTGTCGCCCTATGCGTTCAGTGACTGTGCGTCCAGACGGTTCAGCAGCCCCACCCACCCTGGTCCTCCCAGGCAGCTGTCCCAGGGGCCCAGGCCTGCCTTGCACCACACCCCTCAGGGAATCCAGCAAGGAGCCCCCTGCAGGTTGGTTCAGGCCCCTAGGCAGCAAAACAGAGATGACAGGACCCCCACCTCCTCCAGTGCTCCCTCCTGACCCCCTGCCCTCTCTGTGGAGGCCTGGGACCCCTGCAATAAGCTCCATATGGGCAAGGCTGTCCCTGTGCCTTGCAATGCCCCACCCTCTGCCCCAGGTCACCCCTGCCAGGGTCCCTCCTGGGGTTCTGGGCTATTCAAGGGGCTCTTTGATGGGCCAGGCCGGCCAGAGTGAACTCCGAGCACTTTCTGGCTGGACCCCCGCCTCTGTACTCCCCACTCATTCCCACCTTGAAAAAGGGCTATAGGTCCCCTGCCCTGCCTGGGTCCAGTTTACAAACAGTGTGGGGTTGTCCCAGGGCCTGGCCCCGCTCTCCCCGCTGTGCCCACTCCTCTCCAGACCCCACCTCCCCAGTGGGTACGGGCCCTCCACATGCCAGGTAAGTAGCAAACCCCCCTCCCTCCAAGGGCCAGGTCTCAGAGAAGGCCCGTCACTGCCCCCGGCCCACCTGGAGCCCATTGGGGCTGCCTCTCCCAGCTGCGACTTCTTTTGCCTTAGGCCTTGAGACATCCTGATCTCTCCTGCAATAACAAGGAATCGAGATTCCACAGTAGACGTCCCTTGCCGTGCGCTCTCTCTCTCTCTCTCTCTCTCTCTCTCTCTCTCTCTCTCTCTCTCTCTCTCTGTCTCTCTCTCTCTCTCTCTCTCTGTTAAGATCCTGTTCCGGAGTTTCCCCTGCCATCGTAGTATCTAGTATGTTAGAGTTGGGAGGGGACCGTAGTTACGACGTAGCCCAGCCACCTCATTCCCAGAGGCACCCAGAGGGCCAGCCACCAGCCTGACCCCAAAGCAGAACTGGAACACCAGGTTGAGGCCCTGCTGCTGCCACCTCTGCTGGTCGGGCTGGGACCCTTTTGCCCCTTAGGAGAGGTGTTGGTCACAGATGTTTACCTCAGTTTATGTCACTGTCGAAGAAACAAAAATAATAGCAAAAAATAATACTGTAGAAATGAAGACTTAGAAGACAAAAAAAAAAAAAAAAAAGCCACACACACACAAAAAATCTCCCCGTTCCGATTCTTCTGTGAAGGTACAGTGTGTATGTATGTGTGTGTGTGTGTGTGTGTGTGTCTGTGTGTGCCCCCGTGTCTCCATCCCACCCCGGGCAGGCCGGGGCATCCCAACCCCTGTCCCAGCCCCTGTGTCCCCCACACTGCCCCTGTCCTTCGGTGCTTCCCAGAGACCCCTCTGAGCTGGCCTGTGGGGTGCGGGGAGCCCCCTGGGTGGGAGGCAGGGCCACAGGTCAGCTAGAGGGTCTCCACCAGGCCCTCCGAACAGAGCCCACAGCTGCCCAATGTTCCCTGAGCCCACGCTGTGGCCAGTGGGACAGTCCTGGTGGCTGGCATCAGCGTCCATGCCTGGCTCAGGGCCTGGGGCGGGGTCCCGGCCCCGGAGCCCCAGACCCTCATGTCTTGCCACCCTTCCCCCATGTGTTTGTAAATATTCTGGCATCCTTTAGCCCTGAGGTTTTTAAATGTGTTATTTACTTCTCTAAACATGACGATTGCTATAAAATAAACGTTTAGAAAAATGACCACTGGGTGGCTGTCTTTTCTCAGCTTTGGTGTGGAGAGGGCAATGGGGTTGAGGGGGGCAGGGCACACAGCTACTCTAGAAACTGAAAACTTGGGCCAGGCATGGTGACTCACACCTGTAATTCAGGCACTTTGGGAGTGCCTGAATACCTGAGGTCAGGAGTTCAAGACCAGCCTGGCCAATCATGAAACCTTGTCTCTACTAAAAACACAAAATTAGCTGGGCATGGTGGCGCACACCTGTAGTCCCAGCTACTCGGGTGGCTGAGGCAGGAGAATTGCTCGAACCCAGAAGGCGGAGGTTGCAGTGAGCTGAGATTGTGCCATTGTACTCCAATGAAACTCTTGTCTCGAAAAAAAAAAAGAAAAAAGAAAAGAAACAAAACTTGACCTTGATGTAGGCTCTAGGCCTCCTGTGACCACACAGAGCTCAAGGTGAGGGTGACAGGACGCAGATTCTGGGAAAAGGGGCAGGCCGTTGTCCCTTGCCTGCAGTTCAGTTTGTATGTGGCGTGGGTAGAAAATAGAAGCAAAAACCCAGAGGGACGTGGCAGGGCAGTTCACCACTAAGCACCTTTTTACTGAGCACCTTTTGTGTACCTGGCTTCCTACTGGGGGCAGGGGACATGGCACTGAGCAGGACAGACAGGGCCCCTGCCATCGGGCAGCTGGCAATCTAATGATGCAGGCAGCCATCACCCAAACGGCAGGCTGGGCAAGGTGAGAGCATGGGACTGGGAGACTCAGTGGTTTAGAGGAGCCCCTAGATGCTCCCTGAAGACAAAGTCCAGAGGATTTGAAGTACTCTGCATGGCAGGGGACAGGAGGAAGCTGAGCGGGTCAGTTGTGGGTGTAGACTCCAGCAACAGGCAAGATGGGTGTTTGAAGGAGGGGGAGCTTCAGTGGGCTGTAGGGAGTTTCATGATTCAACACTCATTCCAACAAATATTTGCTAATTACCTATTACTGTCAACGGAGCAGATCTGTTGGCTCTGCCTTCAGGCACATCCCCGGGCAACATTGCCCTCGACACAGACTCCTCCCTGGCCTAGAGGAGAGGAACCTCCTCTCCTGAGCCTCTACAGGCTCTTCTTTTTTCTTTTTCTTAAGAGTTGGAGGCTCACTCTGTTGCCCACCCTGGAGTACAGTGGCATAATCATAATTCACTTGCAGCCTCAATCTCCTGGGCTCAAATGATCCTCCCACCTCAGCCTCTCAAGTAGCTGGGACTACAGGTACGTGCCATTGCTCTGAGCCATTTTGTTTTTACTGTTACTTTTTGTAGAGACAGAGTCTCACTATGTTGCCCAGGCTGGTCTCCAACTTCTGGGCTCAAGTGATCCTCCTGCTTTGGCCTCCCAAAGTGTTGGGACTACAGGTATGAGCCACTGTGCGCAGCCAGGCAGATTTTTTCCCAAACATCTGTCACTGTGTTCAGAACCCTACAATGGCTTCCTATGCTACCCAAAATCAAAGCTGCCGTGCTTAGAGTGGTCTCCAAAGTCCCACGAGCTGAGAGGTCACAGGAGACCTAGAGCCAATGTCAAGGTCAAGTTTCAGCCCTGGCACACTCTAGCCTCATCCTTGCCATCCCCTGCACTGACTGCCAAGGTTGTGCTCACCTCGGGATCTTCACCTTCACCTTGGACTCTCCCAGGGCTCCCTCCTGCTCTTCCTTCAGGGTCAGAGCAAATTTCCTGAGCAGCCTAGATGGAGAGAAGCCTCCTTAGCCTGCCCCGCTGCACGCTGAGCACTGCCACCACCTGCAGGACCAGGTATTTGTGTGTTACCCATGTCTCCCCACTAGAACGGAAGTTCCATAAGAGCAGAGGCAGTGTTTGGCAAACTGCTACTTCCCTGCAGCCCCCACGCCTGGGACGGGGCCTGGTGCCGTGATGGGAACTCCGTAACAACTTGTCACATGAATGCAAGCATCCCCGGTACTATTTTGGGGCCAAGGAAACAGCAATAAACAAGACACACAATCCCTACAATCCCTATCACATATCCTGAAACTCACTTTCTTTTTCTTTTCTTTTTTTTGAGACAGATCACTCTGTCGCCCAGGCTGGAGTGCAGTGGTGAGATCTCAGCTCATTACAACCTCCACCTCCAGGATCAAGCCATTCTCCTCCCTCAGCCTCCCAAGTAGCTGGGATTACCGGCGCACACCACCACACCCAGCTAATTTTTGCATTTTTAATAGAGACGGGGTTTCACCATGTCAGCCAGACAGGTCTTGAACTCCTGACCTCAGGTGATCCACCCGCCTTGGCCTCCCAAAGTGCTGGGATTACAGGCGCAAGCCACCGCGCCTGGCCAGATGGACTATTATTATAATTATATTGAGACAGAGTTTTGCTTTTGTTGTCCAGGCTGGAGTGCAATGGTGCGGTCTCTGCTCACTGCAACCTTTGCCTCCAGGGATCAAGTGATTCTCCTGTCTCAGCCTCCCGAGTAGCTGGGATTACAGGTGCTGGCCACCACGCTCGGCTTATTTTTGTATTTTTAGTATAGACAGGTTTCTCCATGTTGGCCAGGCTGGTCTCGACCTCCTAACCTCAAATGATCCGCCCACCTTGGCCTCCCAAAGTGCCGGGATTATAGGCATGAGCCAATGCACCAGTCCCCGCTGAGACTTACTTTCTAAAACGGGGTTCCCTAGCCCCTTGACAGTCTGTTAAGAACCGGGCCGAACAGCAGGTGAGTGGCAGGTGAGCTTTATGTGTATACACAGCTGCTCCCCATCACCTGCATTACTGCCCAAGCTCTGCCTCCTGTCAGATCAGCGACAGCATTAGATTCTCACAGGAGATCGAATCCTATTGTGAACTGCGCATTCGAGTATAAGCATCTAATGGCTGATGATCTGTCACTCTCCCATCACCCTCAGATGGGACTGTGTAGTTCCAGGAAAACAAGCTGGGGGCTCCCTTGATTCTACATTATGGTGACTTGTATAATTATTTCATCATATATTACAATGTAATAATAATAGAAATACAGGCCGGGCACGGTGGCTCATGTCTGTAATCCCAGCACTTGGGAGGCTGAGGCGGGTGGATCACCTGAGGTCAGGAGTTTGAGACCAGCCAGGCCAATATCTTGAAACCCCATCTCTAGTAAAAATACAAAAACTAGCCAGGCGTGGTGGTGCTTGCCTGTAGTCCCAGCTACTTGGGAAGTTGAGGCAGGAGAATTGCTTGAACTTGGGGAGGCGGAGGTTGCGGTGAGCCGAGATCACACCACTGCACTCCAGCCTGGGCTACAAGAGCGAAACTCTGTCTCAAAAAAGAAAAAAGAAAAGAAATACAGTACACAATTAATGTAATGCATTTGAATCATCCCAAAACCATCCCTCCACCCCCATTCTCACTTGACCTCACCCCACCCCACCCCCCGATCTGTGCAAAAATTGTCCCAGGTGCCAAAAAGTTTGGGGACTGCTTTTCTAAAGAGAAAAACAGACTTTATATAAGTTACATGATTATCTAGGAAATGATGGGGTGGACAGAGAGAAAAAGAGAAGGAAGACAAAAAGAACAGAAAAAGCCCCAGCAGGGCAGGAAGGACTCCTACCCGAGCGTCTGAATTGGGAGAAGTTAAAGAAGTCTCTTTCAGAACGCCTGCCGCTTCTCTGCCATAAGGGTGCCGTCCACTTGAATGGATTGTTAAGGGGTGAAGGAGAAATCTACAGATGCAAAAGAGCATCACTGGTTCCCCAGGTTGGTGGGCAGACATCACTTTCAGAACCCCCACTGAGCCAGAGAGGCAGAACTTGTCACTAGGGGGCCTGGGCTTTCAGCAACCATGGCCTCTCTCTCCGCCACTCCCTGATGCCATTGCTGAATTCGCTTGGGCAGTATCAGGCATCCTCCCCGTTACAAAGCTTTAGTCCTGCCACACTGGTGGCTTGACGGGAAGGGCTTCTAATCTCACCCACACGCCACAACAGAACTAGCCCTGTCCCTATAGCCCCTTCTGTCCTTTAATTTAGCCTTGGTTACCTCCCTCATCATGGCATATTCCTTCTTGAGGGTGCTGGTATCCTGTCCATAGTCTTCCATCCAGACTAATCAGTCCATCAAAAAGGTTCTGATAACATTAAACTTCCAGGCCGGGCGCGGTGGCTCACTCCTGTAACCCCAGCATTTTGCAAGGCAGAAGCTGGGGGATCACTAGGTCGGGAGTTCGAGAGTAGCCTGGCCAACACGGTGAAACCCCCTCTCTACTAAAAATACAAAAATTAGCCAGGTGTAGTGGCAGGCGCCTGTAATTCCAGCTACTGGGGAGGCTGAGCCAGAAGAATCACTTGAATCCAGGAGGCAGAGGTTGCAGTGAGCTGAGATCACACCGTTGCACTTCAGCCTGGGCAACAAGAAGGAAACTCCATCTCAAAAAATTAAAATGAAATAAAACAGAATAAACATTAAATTTTGGAAGGAAAGGGAGTTGTAGTCTTGATTCCTTTTTTCCCAAGATGTTCCTTGAAGCTTATGCAAATTTTCCCAACTCCTCACCAGTCACAGTTAAGCAAGCAAAGGCAAGGGCCGTTGGAAGGAGCAACAGCAAAGACCCCAGGACACCCTTCTCACGGCGCCATAGATGACTACTCAACTTACAGTCACGCCACCGCAGCAGAGTCACCAAATAGGATCTCTCTCTCTCAAAAATGTCAACACCTATTCACCCACCTAGTGTCTGGTTTAGGGTGGAAATGTGGGTGTAAGATAAGTAATTTGGAGGTACTTACTGGCAGCTGAGGGGAGGAAACTGTTCTTTACCCAGCCTTGGGTTACTGGAGTTATGGGGCAATGGATGAAAATGAGGTTTTGCCAGGCATGGTGGCTCATGCCTGTAATCCCAGCACTTTGGGAGGCCAAGGTGGGTGGATCAAGAGGTTAGGAGTTCGAGACCAGCCTGGGCAACATAGTGAAACCCTGTCCCTACTAAAAAAAAAAAAATACAAAAATTAGCCAGACGCATTGGTGGGTACCTG